TCGGTTAACACCACATACGAGTATACACGGTGCCAAATCCCAGAAGACTGCTTTCTGCATAGTCACCGCCGTGAAAGCCTCAAATCGTACAGATCTATGTTTGGTTGCGGAAAATATGTTGTCGGCTTTCGGTCTTAGCATTCTCCGTACAGAACAGAGAGAAAGAAAGATAACACTTTTCTCTCTGTGTTTAAGTAAACTACTTGGCAGCCCTAGACTTAAATGGAAGACTAATGTTAAAATTTACCCTGAAGAAATGGGGTATGAAACTGCGGTTGGTTTCAACTGGTTGAGGATACAGTTTAGTGGCAGGATCTTGTGAGCACAATAATGATCTTTCGGGGTCTATAACAGGCAATGAAAATCTTGACCAGCTAAGAGACTGTTAGTTTCTCGAATTTTAACTGTTTACGATTTTCCTTGACTTCGAAGAGTCATTGCGGTGTTCGTAAGATCTGCAACTGGACTCTTTCCTTACCCAGTTGAAGGCACGCCACAGTTTCACATCCAGTTTCTTTAAGATAAATTTTTATACTAGTTTCCCATGTACGTGTAAGTCTTCACGAAATATCTTTTCTTCGGATTTCCGGGCAAGATTTATGTCTGCTTGTCTTTTCTCCGCCATTTCTCGTATTTTCCTGATTTGATCACCCAAGTAGTATTTGATAAATTACGAAACTCCTTGTATAATTTTATCCATCATCGTGTTATTCTCCTCAGCATTTGTTGCGATACAAGATTTCGTTATCTTTTGTATTTATGTACTAGTTAAATGTGAGCTAGGAACTCCTGTGTCATCAGCAGTGGTCTTTCCTGTCTTCATGGTGCTCTCTCGCTGTTTTGGGGCGACCACCAACTTTTTTGTCTTTACAGAACTAAAAGGTGAAGGGTCAAAGCACTCTCGTCAGTGCTCCTACATGCAGGTCAAGGTGCGGAGTCCGAGCTGTACTCAAGAATACCCACGGAGTGGTCCAGTAGGAGCGCTGACGGCAGTGACTAAACATGTTCTTGTAAGTCGGTCTGGCTTTGCAGCTGTGACGCGTCGCCGCTGACGGGATCTCGGAGGTAATGAACCAAAAGCCCCTTGTAGCCATGTACACCTATATGCGTTAGTACCCACGTAGGCAGTTCTTCCGTGGTAGGAGCCCAAATTCTCAGCGTACCAATGGTATATGACTTTTCGGTAGGTTTCTGATTGTTAGTGGTATCTTAACAGGTAGCTGCTACGACGTGTTCCCTGAGCTCGGGTCGTGATGAAGG